TTATGAGCAACTGATGCAAGTAGCCAATACGCCCAAAAGTCTCCTTCACGGCGATCAGAATCCAGAAATAGCTGCAGCGCAAACGATCTCGCGCGCTCAGAGAGTTCCAACTGCGCATGGACTCCTCCGTGCACAAAAGAATATTCCAGAAAGGGTGTGTCCCTAGTGTCAGGGGATGGATCGGCCGAAAGGGCCGGGACTTGCTAGGAAATCAGATAGGTCAAGCAGACTTCTACTATTGTTGAGTGAGGCCTGCTGAAAATATCAGGATGAGCGGAAAGAGACTCTTAGAGAGTACAGTGGATCAGGCGCACAGTTGATGCCTCCATGTCCACCACAATAATCCATTGGCAGAAACCCACCGGCGTCGACACCGAAGAGATGGTTCCCGCATTGAAGTCGGTGGAGCGACTGCTAGTGTGTGGCAGAGCTCATCCGCCATGGGCAGCCGCTGTGCATTGCTGCTCCAAATTAGTGCTGCCATCCCAGGTCTTGATTTATCCCCACCGTGCGCCTTTATCCGTCTTATCGTTGTACCATAAGCGTCCCCCAGACCTAACCACTATTATTTTGCTAAGGTTTTCCCATCTCCAATGGATTCCGTGTTTAGGGAAACTTGTAGAAACCTAGGCATATCTATTAAAGGAAGATGTGCCGAAATTCCAGTACGATACCATTGCCCTTATATATCACACATTTCCAACATATTTTCGGGAACCCCCTCCAGCATGTCCATAATAATATGTTAAATACTTTGCGTGGTATAAGGTGCTACCCTCCAGGGAAACTCAAAACAAAATAAATGGAGCAAAAACGCAGCTATTAAAACTTATACAAAGCAAGTATCTGTTTATTCGCGCTCTACTCAATTGCTCACACTTGTTATACGTAATGATGTGGTCCGATTGCTGTATCGAATCGCCGAAAGGACCTTCCCAGGTAGGAAGGTACAGTAGATTTTCCACTTGAGTAGCCCTTTAGATGGCTTGTCTGTCGTTGAAAGTCTACCCTATTCGTATTACTCTACTACGAATTCCAAGTATTATAGTGTGCAGGGATGTCACACAAAATCTAAGCGGATGTCACAGACCCTAATATTAAAAGATTTTTATTGCTTGCTATCAATATTGTAGTGTCCGACCAGGGCAAGTCAGGCCCAGAATTTATTTTGTTCCAATGGCAACATTTATATCAGCACAGGGCCACGATGGTGAAAAGAGCCTTATTCTTTGCTCGCAGTACTTAGTCAGCGTGGCGAAGACATGCTTGTTTCTTTCGCCAGCAGAGTACAGTTTTTACAGGGATAAAAGTAGTTTGGGTTGGGGAAGCATCGTAGCAAATGGACAAACAACTTAGTGTGTCTGAAATAGAATCACGGCTTTATTGAGTGAATACAGTGCGTTAGAACAGCGGATACTTGTCCGACGAGCTCCCCCCGCTGCCTGCCTGCCTGCCCGCTCACTAAGAACAAACTAGGGGGGACGATATCTGAGAATTGCTTTCTTTTTATTTTAGTAGTAGGGTGCCCCAGGCGGGGTGGCTTGGGTGTTTATACAAAAGCAATGGATTGCGATTCCCCTTTCATCTCATAATTTTGATATACCCAGCACCGATAGATTACTCGATGTTTGATTTTGCGTGACCGTTCCGAATTTCGGTGGAATTGGAGGTAAAAGCGCATGGGAACGAGTGATAGAAGTGACTTGCATGACTACCTAGGTGGGATAAACTGCTCCCTTAAGGGCATAAACTCTTAGAGATGTCGTGCTACAACATAATATAGACATCCCTGTGACACAACTTGGATAGTCTGAATGACTATATCTAGGAGTGACGGCGGACCAACTGGGGACTACGAACGATTCACCTGACGTTTTGTCTTTTGCTGCACAGCGAAATACACTACGCGAACTTCATGAACTGGATCGCCAACTTGGCGAAGCTAGATTTACAAACTAACTTTGGATTGACGTGTGACAAAGCCTTAGGGTGAATACAGGATCTACGAGAGTTATTATGGCCGCATGACCCGACTTCCACAGCCGGGCGAGACGCTTGAGGAGCTCTCCCAAGAGATTCCGCAGTGAGAGGTCGAGAAGGAGCTCCATTTTCCACCCCCCAAGACACCTGCGGAGCAGGCCTTATATGCACGGGTTGCCCAGTGGATCGCACATCCCGAAGGGGTAGGGGTGGAAGAAGAAGGAAGAGATGAGGACCTCCGTACCGGTGGTTCTCCTTGTCTCTTTCGGACACGCTCGTATTGGAAACCCTGGTGCTGCTCGGCATGCTCATGGCTATCGATTGTCCGTCCGTCCATCCGTTCTTTCGTTCGCGGTTATTATCCGCCGTTCGCCTTTCATCGTCCGTTCGTTCGCGCTTTGCCTCCGTTGTTGTCGCCGTTTATCCGTTTGATCCCTCGTTCACTGTTCGCTCGTTCGCAGGAAATATGGATAGCGGGAGGCTGCGAAGTAGTGGGTGTCTTTGTGGAGTTTGTCTTTCTTTTGTTAGCATGCGAGTGAGCATGGGGTATGGGAACTTGCGCGGACGAGAGCAGAGATCAGTGGTGTGTGGTAGAAGGCTTGGAGGATACGTTTGTTTGGTTAATATATACCCCCGCCCCCCCCGCTAGTTAGCCAGCGCTAGGAAGCTTCCTTCAATATCACCCTCTCAATACCGTTACCTAGCCTAAAGAAAGACAGAAAACCTTTCAAAAAGAAACAAACGAGTGCCGAACTGTCCACCCAGGTCGGTTCCGACAACCCTCCAGAAACACCCCCCCGCCGGGACATTCCTGCGGTGGCGGAATTCATCCGCAGCGGGAAGTGCGAGGGGATAATCTTTCTGGTACTATACCCCTCTTTCCCAAGACCCCTCTACCACAAGCTATCATGTCCCATAGTACGGTGCCGGAACCTCCACCTCTGCCAGTATCCTGGACTTCCGCACGCCAGGTATAGGCCTCTACTCCAACCTACAAACTCTGAACCCCCCTCACCCGGAGGCCGTCTTCGACATAAACCTTTGCCGTACCAATCCCCAACCTTCCTACACCCTCGCAAAATCCCTGAACCCCGGCCAATTCACCCAGACCGTCACACACGCCTTCATATTGCTAACGGCGAAGAAGTACTTGCCTCAGAAGTGCTTCACCCAGAACATAGATACACTGGAACGCGCCGCAGGGGTTCCGCCGGAGAAGCTTGTCGAAGCCCACGGCTCATTGGCTCATTCCCGGGACAGTCGTGCATCGACTGTCACACCGAGTACCCGGCCGACATGACGAAGAAGCATCTGCTCGCCGGAAGTGTTCCTCAGTGTGAGACTTGCGCCGTGTTAGTGAAGCCAAATATTGTATTCTTTGGGGAGAGCTTGCCGAGGGAGTTTCATATGGGACTTAGAATTGTCGAGGAGGCGGGCTCAGTGGTCATAATGGGGAGCTCATTGAGCGCTTACCCGTTTGCCGCGCTTCCCGGACAAGCGAGGGAAGGGGCGATCCGGGTTTTAATTAACCATCAGAGGGTCGGGGGGTATTGGTGGCTGGGCGGACGACGTACATTTGCTGGGCGGGTGCGACCTGGGGGTGAGAAGGCCGGAGGAGCTGGGTGGACGGATGAGCTGGAGGAAGTTTGGAGGTCGGTCGGAGGTAGGAGTGGTAAGAAGGCAGAAGCGGAGGCAGAGAGCAGCGAGGATACTTCTCTTCGGGCTTTCTGTGCTAATCTAAAGCGTTTGCCCTTCTTCATCCCCATATGAAAACACCTAACATAACCCTTTCCTCACCCCACTCCCACTCCCCTCTCTAATAACATCTCCTTCGAACTCTTTTCTCCTTCTCTCCTCTGCGCTTTTTTACCCCGTCTCTTCCGCTCCCTACCCCCCTATGCCTCTCCTTTGCCCCTTCCAATATTCTTATTCTCTCCTCCTCCATCTTCGTTCCCAACCGACCCATATCCCCTTCTACCCACGGTAACAATATCTCCCCACTCATCCCTCCTTCCATACCCCACCCCTTCCACCAACCTTCTCACACCATACTTTCGCTGACACCATATCAGTAGCCTGTAGCGAGAAGTGATAAGAGAAAAAAGTGGTTAGTGCAACAAGACTTTTGTTTCCACACACCCAAGCTACTCACTCGTCTTTGCCAAGAATACCTCCGCCACGGAATATTTCGCTGCAGCCCTCACCAAATACCCGGCCCACGGAGGTATTCTTGGCAAAGACGCGCGGGTACAGTATCGGCGTCATGAATGATCACTCGCCTCGCTGCCTACGAGGGTCAATTGCGTATTCGTGTAGTCCGACTCGGGCACTAAATGAGTTCTGCATCACTACCCCTCTATCATATACTTAAACTATTGGTACCCTTCCACCTTCCCGTACCTTGTACACCCCCAATCCTGCCTGTTTTCGTTTCCTCATCAACAGCCCCGCACCCGGCTTGCATCCACCCCTCCCCCAACAAAGCATTGGGTTCCGGCACTGATAACCCCAAATCCACCACGCGGAGGATGTCATAATAATAACATTATGATAAAATTATAGGGGAAATGTTTAGCTGACCCGGCAAGATACATACGAGTAGGTTGTCGAGCCTCTAGGCGCCCTGTGCGGTGCGAGACAGCTCGCTTGGGGGAAGCTTGACTCACCTAGCGAGTTATGATACACTGGTTACATTGCGGGAGAGGGAATAGGGAGAAGCAAGGAGGATAGCCGGAGACTGCGGTGTTTGTTGGGACTGTTGGGGGAGGGAAGGGGTGGGGTGGAAGTCTCTCTGGCACCAACGGTCTTGTAGATCCGCACATCGTTTTCGATGTCTGATCGGATTTTGGTAGGAGATAGGCATCAAGGCTTTGGGCTTGCGGAAGCGCGGGTGGCGCCGCATCCAGAAGGAGCAGGAGTGATATACGAAACAGTGTATGTAGAAGGGACTGGGCTCGTGATAGTGCAGGGCAAAAGCGGTGACCAGCTCGAGATAAGGGGATAAAATTAAAAAATAAAATAGATTTCACCCGGACTCGAACAAGGGACCACCAGTGTACTAGAGTGGTGCGACGACCAACTGCACTACGAAACCAAATTACTAATGAGTGTCTAGCATTCTTCAACATATTGTTGGATACAGGTTTACCAGTACTGTTAATGATTAGTCTGTGACATTGCGTAGGTTGTGCTGGTCGCCATCCTAAGCTACCAGAAGAACTCGCAGAATTGGACCATGTGCTAGGACGTTGGAGTCGCCTCTCTCAGTGAGGTCTGGTGGTTTTTTTCTTTTTATTTGTCTCGGGGGGCACGTTTTTCGGTTTGTTTTTTGCCCCTTTTTCAGAGGAAACTTTGGACGACCTGGCACACAGTCCAATTATCTGAGTTCTTACTGTAGCTGATGGCGAGTTTGGACTTATATAAGCAAATATTACCTAGTCCTAGCCAAGGATTGTTTGTCTTCGCCTTTTTCCGCAGTCTCGATAAATTTTATCCACCTGTCCACAGCTCTTGCTACAGTGCAAACTTTGCATTCTTCACCCGTGACTTTGAGAATCCTTCTTTCTCCATTAGAGTATGTCTTCCTTTCTACTTCATTCCCAGTTAGAATGACAACATTGACATACTAAGATTGGCAGTAAAACATGCCACCCCTCGATCACTCGCTATGGCATGATACGTTCATCTACGCCTCCAACGATCGTGATGTGATGAGAAACTCGGTGGCCTGTGGGCCGGAAGCACCTTTACAAATGCCAACCTCTATTCCGTGGTGGAAATTTTGTGTTTCTTCACCGATACTTTTGATATACATGATGAGGGCGGGCAGTTGGTGGGAAGGGATGGGGGGCAACTTCGGGCGGGAAAATACTACATTGTCACCTGTGGTGGGTGCTTCTGATCTTCCACCATTGGCCTCTTATGACTCTGACTAGGTTCCATCACCGTTAATAACGATGTCCCACTGATTCGTTCGATCACTTTGGAGAGAGGGCGCCGAGTTGAGGCATTCCGTATTGCTGTACGAGCCCGAGATGGGGGTTGTGTTATAACCGGATTTGAAGCACCGCTAGCTCATTTGGGCAACTGGAGAGGCTTCGATGCCTGTCATATCTTTCCTTTAGCATATGAGCAGCAGTGGAAACAGTTCAACTATGGTCGTTGGATTACCGTTCCGCCCGCTAATGAGTCCGACGGATCCATCAACTCAGTCCAAAATGGGATTCTACTCGCGTCTCACATGCACAGATTTTTCGATTGCTATGAGATTTCGATAAACCCGAAGGTGAGGATGGCTAAACCTTCAAGTCTCCTGAGCTAATAAATACACAGGATAACTACAAGTTCGTTTGTTTCTCACCTAATTTGAATCCGTATCTCACCCCTGGTCGGTCTCTCGATCAGACGTTCCTCGAAAATCCGCTCCGACCTCCGGATCAGCTTCTGCGCTGGCACTTTCGCCACGCGGTACTCATAAATATGAAGGGGGCAGGGGGACATCCTTCCGGCGACGATTTCCCCCTTGACCCGGACGCGGTGGGCGGGGTTGTGAGCGGTGAAAGGGCTGGGGCGGGGGTCGGGGGTGGGGTGTTTGGCGGTTTGGGTGCTGTGGGTCGTGTTTGAAAATAACTATGACAGTAGAAATTGAGACTTTTCTAACCATTTTTTCTCCTCTACAAGGAAGTGTACGCTACTGCCTTGGGGACATACTGTATACCGTAGAACCAGGCAAAAGCCCGAATAGGGATAAGGTTTTGCTGAACGGGGGCGGCGGTAAAAACTGCTAAGAGGGTATAAATCTTTAAGTTGATATTCACAGCGAGTGATATTACGTGAAGAGCCATCTCGCACTCTTGACTTGATTCATGAGACTTCTTTTTCTCACTGATGGCGGTAGAAGCAGTTCAGTTTCACAATCGTGATACCTAAATCCGCAATTTAGCATTTACTAGCATATACATAATTCAATGCTATTGCGCCCTTAAATAGGTAGTCAAAACAAAGGTGGTGGGGGATCAACACTCAAAATGGAAATCTGGCCGTGAGTGTAGGGGTGAGATTACCCGGATCAAAAAAGATGCTTGAAGGCTGCCGAGCCTTACAGCCGTAGTGTACTCGACTTACCCGTGCACTACGGAGGTACATTGTGTAAGTTTTGTAGGTTACACAGGGGGTGAAGGTGGCGGTCCTCGTTTGGGAACATACAAAACATACACGCTATACCTCCGCACTCGTAGAGTACCAGTGCTACTAGTAATTTTTTTTTTTGGGAGGACTGGGGCACTAAAATCTGGTACTAGCATGCTAAAGAAGTTTTGGAGTAATTTGAGTGGAGGGGATATTTAAGCTAACCCCGAGAGCTGGCTCATTTGAACAGTAAAAAAGGGTAAACCTTTAGAATACCATACGCTTGGCAGTTAACCCTTTTGGGTACTGTCGACCGAGAAATCTATTGTACTAGGGGTTGGAAAAAAGTCTGTCGAACTCTTGGCACCAAATCACATAGTAAACACTGCCAAGAGTTCGACAGACTTACCCACAACCCCCGGTACTTGTGCCATCGAAAGCATGACAACCTAGAAATGCCTATAATGGAGAAAAAATCACAGAAAATACTATCGGGAATTCCTTGAGGCTTCCTAGTGATTTTTCCAAAATTTCCCCACCTGTCCCCAAGATTAACTGAGCCATAGTGTGATCAATTATTTTCTAGAGATTCTTGGCACAACAAACTACCCCAAACATACCGGTATCATACTGCTTTTAAGTGAGAGCAGACCCAGACATGGAAATTCTTTCTCAAGGTAGGAACTTAACTATCGATTGTGTTTATTTTATATCTATAATTCTTTTGCAATTTTATGTTGGGCGGGAAAGAAATCTGGTACTTTGCGGGGGTTTCACCTTTTCGATGGTATCCGAGAGGGTCAACCGCCATGCGCATGGTGACAGATCTCAGATTTCTGCTTACATAAGCCAGGATTACCCGGTTGTTACTTGTGATTTGTATATATTTGGCTTTCTTTGTTCCCTCCTTGCATCCTATCTGCCGGATCCTAACCCTCGTGCCGACGCAAACACGTCCTACTTCACCATCGGCGTAAACACCCCTTCCCTTTCTGTTAGAGCATGGCCCCCAATTCCCAGTCAGAGCGACAACATTGACATACCAACAAGCAGTCAAACATGCCGACTATCGATCGCTCCGCATGGCGTAATACTTTCATCTACACTTCCAACAGCCGTGGTACTATAATCGGAGGTCTCTGGACCGCAGATGGTATTACCAACGCCAATTTCTATTCCATGATCGGTATTTTCTGTTCGTTTAGCGATACGTTCGATCTCCATAACGAGAGTGAACGATTGGTTGAGAGGGATTCGCAACAACTTCAGCCCGGCAATTACTATATTGTCACTGATGGTGTGTTTTTCCTGAGCCTCGATCATTGGCCACCACTCACTCGGAACAGGTTCCATCACTATCACCGACGAAGTTCCGCTAACGCGCACGAAGTCAGTGACGTCCGGAACACGTATTGAATCATTCCGTGACGCTGTGCGCAATCGAGACCAGGGATGCGTGATAACCGGTATGAGGGCACCGCTAGCTCAATTTGGCAACTGGAGATCCTTCGAAGCCAGTCATATTTTTCCTTTGGCATACGAACAGCACTGGAATCAGTGCAACTACGGTCGTTGGATCACCGTTCCGCCCGCCGATGAGTCCGACGGATCCATCAACTCACTACAGAATGGGATCTTGCTCAGGAGTGATATGCGTGATTTTTTTGACAATTATGATTTGACTATCAATCCTGATGCATGAATAGCTAGACCTTCAACTCTTCATGGCTAACAATTGTGTAGGATAACTACAAGATTGTATGCTTCTCACCTCTTCCTTTTGATGACAACATCGCTGGTCGGCCTCTTGGTCGGGTGTTCCTGGATAATCCCCTTCGACCTGTTGATGAGCTGCTACGCTGGCACTTTCGCCAGGCAGTGCTCGTTAATATGAAGGGTGAGGGTGAGCCTAGTTTCGAGACAGATTTCCCGCCTGGTTCAGACATCATTGGTGAGATCATGAGCGGTCCAAAATGTGGAGAGAGAATGGAGTTTGAGCTGTTTAGTCGTTTCAACGCAACGAGGGATCCTGAGGAAATGGTAGTCGGCCAAATGGTGTGTACCTAGGACATGATCACGTTTTATGTAACAACAATCTTTAGCATCAATCATTGTTCACTCATAAGTTTCCTCAAAAAATCCTGCAAGCTCCGGGGTTTGATGTTCGATTCCAGAAATCAGCACACTTCTAAATAGGTAATTACAGTTGTCCCGTTCAACCGCGATCGATCATATATAGAGTGTTGTTTTGAGCCTTCAAAACAGAACGACACTCATTAAAAAGTGATTCATAAGTTAAGGTCCTTTATTTTGAAACCCTAGCAAACCTCCTCGAGCAATACTGTGACTTAAGGGCTGTTTAGCACGCCAGGGTTTGTGAGGCAACACGGTGCAAGGGACAATTTATAGGGTGAACAGTGTTTGGCAGCACAATATTTGAGGGGCAGAATTTGTAAACCTTATAAAATGCAATCTGAAAACATAGTAATCTAGGGCTTAAGAAAATTTATAAAAGGGTTGTGACTCTGCAATCATGTACAGTATGATACTTGCAGGGACAGTAAGGGCCCGAAAACTAGTTCTGAACATTCTACACAAATATCTATCGGGGGCATGGGATTATGATTTGCGATTTTTAGTTACCCCGCGTGATTCAGGCACTAAAACCCTCAAATCAATCGCGTGGGGGATATCATAATAATAATAATATTATAAAATTATATGGGAAATGTTCCGCTGACTTGGTATGATACAGACGAGTAGGTTGAGGCACTAGGCGCGCTGCGAGATTCGGAAAGGTTCGCGCGCGGGAAGCCTGATGCACTTGGCAAGTTATACACCAGCGACATCGCGACAGAAGGAAGAGGGAGAAGCAAGGAGGATAGTCGGAGACTGCGGTTCTTGTCGGGACTGTGAGGGGAGGGAGGGGGGTAGGAGTGGAAATCTCTCTGGCACTAACCGTCGTAT